TTACAGATCAGAAGAGTGGCAATGGTGGCACATGCCCATAATCCCAGTGACTCAGGAGGCTGAGGCAGGAGGATCACAAGTGCAATTCCAGCCTCAGCAATTCAGTAAGGCCCTAAGCAATTTAGTGAGACCATGTCTCAAAACAAAATGGGCTGTAATGTTGCTCAAAGGTAAAGTGCTTCTGGATTCAATCCCCAGTACTAAAATTTTTTTTAATTAAAATTAAATAAATAAAAAAAAAATTTAAAAGATCAAGAAAGTTAGATGTTTAGACACAAATAGATGGCTATCTAGGAAAAGCAGTATGCAATAAATGGCAATTGAGTGGCACAGATAATAAATTGTATCAAGAGTCAGAAGAAGGTACAATTATATTTGCAGTGAAACAGATACCTGTTTTCATTCTTTAATAAATGAAAAAATTGCTTGTCCTCTTTGTAGGCCATAACCTGGTCATCTTCTCTGTGGAGGGTATGTATCATTTCCCAAATATTCACAAACCAAAGAACTTAAAAGTTAACAAGTATACTTATACAAGAAAAACACATTTAAAGTTTTTGTTTATTTAAATAAGAAATTAAAATAAGCCAGGTGTGGCGGTGCATGCCTGTAATCCCAGTGGCTAGGGAGGCTGAGGCAGGAGGATCTTGACTTCAAAACTAGCCTCAGCACCATAGCAAGGCCCTAAGCAACTCAATGAAATCCTCTCTAAATAAAAGATAAAAAGGAGCGGGGGATATGGCTCAGTGGATAGTGCTCCAGGGTTCAATCCCTGGTACAAAAAAAAAAAAAAAGAAAGAAAGAAAGAAATTAGCCTATACATGAGGCCCTAGTTTCAATTCCAAGCACATAATAATAATAATAACAACAACAACAATAACAACAACACTGTTGAGTTCATATATCTAAATATTACTCCGAATGAGAGCAAAAAGAAGTTTTCAGAAAGTGGGCATGGTTGTGCATGCCTGTAATTCCAGCAGCTGGGAATGCTAAGGCAGAAGAATCGTGAGTTCAAAGCCAGCATCAGCAATAGTGAGGTGCTAAGCAACTCAGTGAGACCCTATCTCTAAATAAAATACAAAATAGGGCTGGGGATGTGGCTCAGTGGTCAAGTGCCCCTGAGTTCAATCCTCAGTACAAAAAAAAAAGAAAAAAAAGTGCTCAGTAGTATATTTACATGGCTTATATTTGTCACTTGGGAAATCCCAAGTGACTCCTTTTTCAATGTATGGGATAATTATTCATCTTTTTTTTTTTTAAACTGGGGATTGAACCCAGGGGTACTTTACCACTGAGCCATATACCCAGTCTTTTTAATTTTTTTTTTTTTTTTGGTTTGAGACACAGTCTCACTAAGTTCCTGAAGGCAGGGTGAGGCTGGTCTTGAATATGCAAACTTCCTGTCTCAGCCTCCTGAGTCACTGGAGGCAAATGCCACAGTGCCCAGCTGATTCATCTTAATTTAGCTTTGTTCTTCATTCTTCTACCTCACAGAATGGGAAGGTCATTCCAAGGTCACCACATCTAAGATGAAAACTATGGTTTTATTTATATGGCTTCTATTTGTCAATATTTATCATATCAGAATTTAAATTTGATAAAATTTTGAATATTTATTAATTTCTGGGCACACCTGTAATCCCAGTGGGTTGGGAAGCTGAGACAGGAGGATCACAAGTTCAAGACCAGCCTTGGTAAATTAACAAGGCTCTAAGCAACTTAGTGAGATCCAGTCTTAAAGGGGAAGGGGGGAGACTGGGGAGACAGCCCACTGGTGAAGCACCCTGGTGTTAAATCCCTAGTACCAAAAGAAATTTACAATAATATGTACATTATGTATTAATATTAGAGTGATGATGCAATCAGACATCATGTAACCTTGGAGATATTCCACTGTACTCAGGAAAGAATAAAGAGTGAAAAAAGCCAAGAAATCTTTGTATTATTAAGAAAATAGTTTCAATCTCACAGGTCCCTGAAAAAATGTCTCAAGAAAGTTAGGGTGTTCACAAATCATATAATGAGAACCACTAATCTAAGTGATAATCCAAATTTTCTGGTTTTGATTTTGGTCTTAAACTTCCAGTACACTGATGTCATCTATACATAGGTTCATGCAAAGTATCTACATACATAGACATCTCATGAATGGAAAACTTTATTACTATTCTGCCTTGACTAATAATTAGCTCTGGGAGTGAACAGGCAAGTTCAGCAGTTATCGTGTATGTTAGGAAAAATATAAATAGTTACTAATTTATAATTTAACCTTGTCTCTTCTGCTTACTTGCTAAAATGTTATATTCCCATCTGCAGGAGAAAAAGATGAAATGGCAATAAAATATACCAAGGAAGCATAATAATAAGTCTATAGATAAACTGATATCTAAAAGTCATCTTTCTAGAGAACTAGAAAAAGTACCTAGCAAATGAATTTCCAATTGCCAAATTCCAGCAACTTGACCCTTAAAACTTACAAAAACTGAAATATTTAGATTAAGGAAAAACTAGCCACTGCCCAAAATGCTACAGAAGAGTTTGTGGCAACAGTCCCCTTACCTTGCGCTTGATGTTTTCTAGAAGGCTGGATCCTCCCTTTTTGAAGAATGGATGTTGAAATTCCATAGTTAATGTCTTCCTTTGTAAAACCTTTCCATTTTCCATTGCAAGCACCTTTCGGAAACCATCTAGTGAAACAAAAACACAAAGATAATAGAATAAACTCTGAAAGGAAAGCTAGAATCACTAGAATAAATAAGAAATAATGTGAAATATTTTACTGGACTACACACTAAATTAATGTACCATAATAGCCTAATTTTAAACTTGAGAAGTGAAATCTCAATAGCTTATTTTACTTTGTTTATATGAAAAGATATACGATTTTAGAGTACTAGTGTGAAAGCATGGACCATTGAAGATCTATATATAATTCTCAAGACCCATATTAAGCAATAGCTTCAAATTTCTGCAATATTCCCTATATGTAGTGATTTTATTATCTCAAAGATAACAATGGGGAAAAAATAGTGATTTGTTTCATCCTCTTTTAGTGTCTTTCTCACCCTTTAAAAACCATGAAAAGGAAGGCAGTATGAGAAAGGAGAAGCTTGAGACACTTGGAGAGATGACAAACTAGATCACATGCTTCTGAAAAATCATGAACGAAAAGCCAAATAATCCAATTAATAATGGACTAAAGATATAAGTAGAGATTTCACAAAAGAAATACAAATGATTAACAAATATATAAAAAATGTTCAACATGTAGTTATCAGGGAAACACACACCAAAACCACCATGTGATATTACATCACTCCAGTAAAAACAGAGATTATCAGACAGTCAAAAAATAATGTGTGGGCTGGCACATGAGAGGCATTGGGTTTGATCTTCAGTACCACATTAAAATAAAGGTATTAAGTCCAGCTACAAGTAAAAAATATTTAAAACAAATAATGTGCTGGTGAGAATGTGGTGAAAAGAAAGCTCAAAACACTGTTAGTGGGGTATAGCCAGTACAGAGGCTCCATAAAACATTAGAAATAGATCTACCATAAGATCCAGCAATCCTTCTGAGTGTATATCCAAAGGAAAATAAAAACCAGCATACTAATGAGATTCCTGCACTTCCATGTTTATTGTAACACTATTCACAATAGTTAAGATAAGGAGTCAACCTAGGTGCCCATTACCAGATGAAAGGATAAAGAAAATATGGCTTGTATATAAAATGTAATATTCTTCAGCCACAAATAAAAATAAAATCCTGTCTTTTGCAGCAAAATGGATAGAAATGGAGGGCATTATGTCAAACATTATGTCAGACACTGAAAGACAATGTTTTTCTCTTATATGTGAAAGCTAAAAACATGGACCTGAATGCAGAAAATAATGGTGATTACCAGAGGTTTCAAAGTGGTAGGTGGGTTGGGAGGGTGGGTTTAAGGAAGTTGGATAATGGGTACTAAAACATAGCTAGATATCAGGAATAAGTTCTGGTGTTCTCCAGCTCAGAATACCTTAATGTATATTTTGGGAAGATACAGAAGAGAGATCAAATGATCCAAACATAAAGAAACATAGGAGGGAGAAAAGCTAATTACCCTAATTTGATCAATGCATGCTGTATATAGCTGTTAAAATATCACGCTGGAATACAGTGGGACATGTTTGTGGTCCCAGTTACTGAGGAGGAGGAGGCAGAAAGATCACTCGAACTAAGGAGTTCAAGGTCAGCCTGAGTATAGAAACTAAGATTCTGTCATATATATATATATATATATATATATATATATAATGTGCATTTGTATTATATAGTATGTATTGTACACAATATATAATATATAATGCATATGTGCAATATAATATTGGATATTATATAATCTATGTAATATAATATCATATATTATGTAATGTATATAATATATGCATTATGTAAATACTATTACATATTATATATCAATAATTTATATCTCACTGAACTCCATTAATATGTACAAAAATAGATGCTAAGTAAATAATAAAGTAAAATGAAAGCAACAACAAAAAATCATCCTCGTGGGGGCTGGGGATATAGCTAAGTTCATAGAGTGCTTGCCTAGCATGCACAAGGCCCTGGGTTCAATCCCCAGCACCACAAAAAGAAAAAAAAAATCATCCTCATTATTTTTTTTAAAGAGAAAACAGAGGTAATTGTGTATGAATGAATAGGCATTTTTTATTTTGCTTCTTAGGGTCTACTTTTTCTAGAACTTGAACTGCAGAAAGTACTTGTTTCATTAATCATTTTTTAAAAATATTTATTTTTTTAGTTATAGGTGGACACAATATCTTTATTTTATATTTACGTGGTGCTGAGGATCGAACCCAGTGCCTCATGCATGTTAAGTGAGTGTTCTACCACTGAGCCACAACCCTAGCCCCTCATTAATCATTTTTAATATTGAAATGCCAGCATTTTTCTTATTACCTATTTTCACTTGTGAGCTTAAGCAAAATGTTACAGGTCTCATTGTCACCACTGCAATACATATACTGTGATAGAAGCATAAACTGTGTCAATTTAGCCACACTGACCAATTTTAGACACTGATTGACAGTGCCTATTCTCATCTAGAATGAGGGTTGAGACAAGGTCTTGATATGTTGCCCATGCTATCCCCAGACTCACAATCCTCTTGCCTCAAGCTTCTGAGTAATCCTCAAGTGGGATTACAGATTTGTTCCACTGTGTTCAGTTTATATGTAATTTTATTTTGTACTAGTGATTAAATCCAGAGTTGACTTACCCACTGGGTGACATCCTTAGCCTCTAATTATTTATTTATGTATTTAGAGGCAGGGTCTCTCTAAGTTGTTTAGCGCCTTACTTAGCTGCTGAGGCTACCTCCAACTTGCAATCCTGCCACAGCCTCCCGAGTTGCAGGGATTACAGGCATACCCCACAGTGTCCTGCTTTTATATGTTTTTTATACATACACACATACACACACACACATACATATTAGTTGTAGATGAACACACAGTATCTTTATTTTTATGTGGTTGTGAGTATCGAATCCAGTGCCTCACACGGAAGAGGCAAGTGTTTTACCATTGAGCTATAGCCCCATTCCTTATATGTCTTTTTTCTTAAATTATTTATTTATTCTAATTCATTATACATGATGGCAGAATGTAATTCATTTCATATTACACATATATATCACAATTTTTCAGGTCACTGATTGTACACGAAGTATTTTCACACCATTCGTGTCTTACATACATGTACTTAGGGTAATGATATCTAACTCACTATACCATAATTCCTACCCCTTTGCCCCCTCCCTGCCCCTCCCCACTCTTTGCCCTATCTAAAGTTCCTCCATTCCTCCCATGCTTCTTTCCCATCACCATTACAAGTCAGCATCCTCATATCAAAGACAAGGCCTTTGTTTTTTTGGGATTGGTTAACTTCACTCAGCATTACATTCTCTGACTCCATCCATTTACTTGCAAATGCCATGATTTTATTCTCTTTTAATGCTGAGTAATATTCCATTGTGTATACATACCAAAATTTCCCTATCCATTCATCTATTGAAGGATATCTAGGTTGGTTCCACAATTTAGCTATTGTGAATTGTGCTGCTATAAACATTGATGTGGCTATGTCCCTGTAGTATGCTGTTTTTAAGTCCTTTGGGTATAGACCAAGGAATGGGATAGCTGGGTCAAATGGTGGTTCCATTCCCAGTTTTCCAAGGAATCTCCATACTGCTTTCCATATTGGCTGCACCAATTTGCAGTCCTACCAGCAATGTATGAGTGTCCCTTTTTCCCCACATCCTTTCCAATACTTATTGTTGTTTGTATTTTTGATATCTGCCATTCTGACTGGAGTGAGATGAAATCTTAGAGTAGTTTTTTTTAAGTTATTGATAGACCTTTATTTTATTTATTTATATGGGGTGCTGAGAAGTGAACCCAGTGCCTCACACATGCCAGGAAAGTGAGCTACTGCTGAGCCCCAACCCCAGCACCTTAGAGTAGTTTTTATTTGCATTTCTCTAATTGCTAGCAATGTTGAACATTTTTTCATATGTTTGTTGATTGATTGTATGTCTTTTAATGTAAGAAAAAATGTCACAAACATGACTGCATAACTAATTCAGAGAAGGTATAGTTGGAACTAGTAAGGCATACTATTTGAAAAAGAGGAATCAGGCTGGGGCCATAGCTCAGTAATAAAGTACTTAACATGTGTGAGGCCTGAGATGCATTTCTAGTACCTCACATACACACATAGCACAACTACAACTGTCAACTGTCACTTACCAGGTGCAGTCATATGTGCTGATTAATAGGGAGTTGGGAAAAGATGGCAATGGCAGCATGAGTTATTTCAAATAATGGTTTAAACTAGACATGGCTTACCCATTCTATTTCTTTTTTTAATACCTTTATTTTATTTATTTTTATGTGGTGTAGAGGACTGAACCCAAGGCCTCGCACATGCTAGGTGAGAGCTTACCACTGAACCACAACCCCAGCCCCCTATTTCTTTTTTAAAAAATAGTTGTAGATGAACATAATACCTTTATGTTATTTATTATTTTATGTGGTGCTGAAGATAGAACCCAGTACCTCACATATGCCAAACAAGTGCTCTACCACTGAGCCACAACTCCAGCCCACCCATCCTATTTCTTTAATTTCATTTAGGAATCTGGATTTATGAACATATTCAGAGATTCATAGTTCACAGAAACTAAGGAAGGGAAAAATTATATCAGTAGCTATTAGCCACAGTATTTATAAAATAAAAATACTGTTTCTGAAACATTATTTAATGTTTTCTCTTATATTAAGAAATCTAACATTCCTTTTCTGCCTTCCCTCAGGAAGACATCTAAAAAGATTCTGTCCTATACCAAATTGTGAATAATATATTTTTAAATGAGCTGATTAGAAAGTGAATCACATCCTTTATGCCATCATAGACTAACAGCAATAGTTGGTATAGTAAATCTCTTTCGTGGACTTGAAACATCACTCATAAATTTTTGGGGGGTAGCAAAAGGGAAATTATTATCCTATATTTGAACACAAGTCTGAAGAATGACTAAAATTTATGTCTTTAAATTATTTGTCCTTACTTTCAAAGTTTCATAATTAAAAAGATCAGCATATTTTAAGAGAAGTTAAACTTTTTCTTAATGTCATGAGGAATCTCAATATACCTTGCTAGGGAGAAATCAACAGCTGATATCCAATTGAGGGCAATCTCAAATTTAAATTATTTCTTTTGAAATATTGCACTCTGGGCATTTATACATCAATTTTTCTACATAGTAACTACTTTCTTTTTAAGGCCTAATCAGCTTTTTATTTCCTAGTTAACCTGGGACAATAAAGTGTTCTTCTATGGAAAAAGCTACAGTAGCCTACATCCAGATCCCTCCACTGAATTAAACTTAATATGGGAATAAAAGAGATCTTTGCTGGGCCCAGTGGTGCATGCCTATAATCTAAATGACCAGCCTCAACAGTTTAGTGAGACCCAAAGAATTTATCAAGACCCAGTCTCAAAATGAAAAAAAAAAAAAAAAGGCTGGGGATAAGGCTTAGTGGTAAACATCCCGGGTTTCAATGCCCAGTACTTAGAAGAAAAAAGACAGAGAGAGAGAGAGAGAGAGAGAGAGAGAGAAGATTTTTTTTTTCTTCATCATGTCAGAGGGTGGTTTGGGGATAAAAACTAGGCCACATTTATATTAGAGCTACATCCCTAGATCCCTTGACCTTTTATCTTTAAGTGTTGTATCATTCTGTCTTTGTTAATATTCTTAATGTAGTTTGCCCTTTTTGTCCTAAACCTGATTTTCTCTGCATTAATTTCAGCTACCTATGTGCAAAAACTTTGAACACCACCTCATTACCTAAAAGAGTAAGAAATCCCAAATTTTGAATTATTGAATTCCACGCAAATTATATTTTCACATGTGAAACAAGGTGATAATACAGTATTATCACACCTTAAAATTCAACAGGGTAGTTAGGACCCTCCTGAGTAGATCATCCACTTGTGCCCTTATGCTTGCATCCTGAGTATGTTTGCCTGATAAGTACACCAAGGAACATTTTCTAGGTCATATCTGTCCTCCATGACAAAGCATGTTATACACAGTTCAGAAAGTCTAGGTGTTCACTATAATAATAAACCTTCAAAAAATTAAGTGTACAAGATACACAATAAATCTACACATGACAAACCCACAAGCAATCTCACACTAAATGGGAAGACATGAAATCTTTCCCTCTGAGATCAGGAACAAAGAAGTATACCCACTTTGACCACTTGTATCCAATAAACCACAGAAATCCTAAGCAGAGCAATAAGGCAAGATAAAGGAGTAAAAAGCATAATTTGGAAAAGAAGTCAAATATTCCTGTTTGCTGCCAACATTGTCTTTAATATATAGAAAAGCTAAAGACTACCACTACAACTACAAAAAGAAATCAGCTGGAACTAATAAATGAATCCAGTAAGGCTGCAGGATATAAAATCAACATACAAAAATCAGTAGCATTTCAAAGAAGAAATACAAATGGTCAACATATACATAAAAAATATTCAATATTCCTGGAAATCAGGAAAAACGAAAATCAAAACCACAATGAGATTCCATCTCACTTCAATTAGAATGTCAATCAACAAGAACACAAATACATGCTGGCAAGGATGTGGGAGAAAACACAGGCTTATATAGTATTGGTGAGACTTCAAATAAGTCTTGAAAACCAGATAGAGATTCCTAAAAAAAAAAAAAATAGGAATGAAACCACCATATGAGTTAGTTATCACACTCCTTAGTATATTTCCAAAAAGATCTAAAATCAGCAAATTATAGGAATGCAGCCACATTAATGTCTATAGCAGTCCAACTCACAATAGACAAGTTATGGAACTAGCCCAGATGCCCGTCAACAGATGAATGAATAAAGAAAAAGTGGCACATATATTCAATGGAGTTTTATTCAACCACAAAGAATAATGAAATCAAGGCATTTGCCAGTAAGAGAACATCATGCTAAGTGAACTAAGTCAGACCCAGAAAATCAAGGGTTGAATGTTTTCTCTCATGCAAAAACTACAGCAAAGTAAGGGGGAAAAATGACGGGTGGTCTGACTTTGTAAGGATAGAGGGAATATCAGTGGAGTAGAGAAGAGAGATTGAGGGGGACAATAAGAGGGATGGAAAAGGGGAAGAAATGTGTAATGAATTTGACAAATGTTATGTACATATATAAATATACAACAGTGAATTCTACTTTTAGGTATATCTATATAGCACCAATAAGTAAATAAATAAATGGAAGACTTGTAGAGCAGAGGAAAGGGAATAGGGGGAGGATAGAGGGAAAAGAAGAGGTACTGGGGACTGAAATGGAGCAAATTCAATTCCATCAATTTATGATTATGTCAAAATAAACCCAACTGTTATGTATAACTACAATTGCACTAAAAATGCATTTTAAAATAGTGAGCTATATAAATAACAAATCAGGCAACTGATTCCACTTAGAATAGCTACCAAAAATTGCCCAGGGATATATTTAAGTGAATAATCTCTAAATTGAAAA